TGCGGTGCCCGCGGGATGCGGTGCCCGCGGGATGCGGTGCCCGCGGGCCGTGGAGCTCGTGTTGGCGCTTCGGGTTTTGCTTGCTGCTGGGTTGCTGAGCGCCGATCACGTTAGATGCCTCTCCTAGCGCGTATTTCGTTCAGAAATAGCTGGCTTTCCCAAACGTTGCTTGCGTGAATTAACCCCGTGTTGGGGTTTGATTGTTTTTTTGTTGTTTTTTTTCTGTCCGTAGGTTGTGAATGGCTGCGTTATTGTTTTGAGCGCAGCTTGCCCATTGTGGCACCTGATCCATCTCTGGCAGCCCCGTGCTGCTCCTCCATCACACCCGCGTTCTGTTGGGCTTTGTTGTGGGCTGCGTTTTGTGCACAGAGTTGAAGGATGCCGTCCTTGTGCCTCCCGCGGTACATCAGGGTGTAAAACATGGGAAGGGCGGATTTATAAATCCCATTCTTGTATCCGTTTCCCTGCTGATGGTTTGTGGGTTATTAGCCTTCTTTTTTTCCTGATGTGTGTGATGCATCCCTATGCAACACGGAGCAGGGCTAGGTGGAAGTGTGTTGGTTATTCTACAATGCAGGCACGAGGTTAAATGAAGAACAAGTTCCAAAAATAATAGCTCTGTCTCCATAAAACACCTTCAGTGCCACAGGAGGCCATTTCAACGTGTTAAATGCTCACTGACCAAAGTGTTGCAATGACATGTTCTGTACAGGGAGCATCATTAACAAAAGACTCTGCATCCTGAAGCAGGTGCATGAAGGCCCGTATTTTGTTTGCCTCTCGTTGCATCTGGGTTTAATTTTTAGCTCTCTTTTGATTGTCAGCATATTTGAGTAAAAGCTGCCTGTGTCTTTTAGAAGGCAGCAGGGCTTTGTCACCAGCATCAGGATCAAACCTTCACCATGAAGGACGTTGTATGAAAACACTCCAAGACAGCAATCTGACAGTGACAGCAGCCGTAGTGCTGCTGCTTCTGAAATCACTCACTGGGGTCATAGATGTGAGTCTGTGCAAAAGCATTTTCATAACGACGCCGATGGATAGCAATACTGATTCACCAATTAAATCCATGGGTTATGAATTTTAGATGTCTTTCAGAAGCTCGTTTGTGAACAGGAGATGTGTAGCCTTTATTTTGACATCTGTAGGGTGTTTTTTTTTTTTTTGATAAGTGGGTAAATGATATTCTGCTGATGAATCACTGACATACTTTACAGGATCAGTGTGGCACAGATCTTTTGATGTAGGATCAGCTGCTACCTCACAGGCAGTCATTTGTCTGTTGGCATTTTAATCGGTTATGGCTCCTTCGCTCTGCAGTACATCCATGAGTGAGGTTATAAGTGCAGGCTGAGGCATGGGGAGCAAAGCCTTGGGTCAGAAATACTGCCAATGTTTCACTTTCAGTTTAAGTCAGTGAAGGCTGTGAAACAAACATTGAACAAACAAACAAAGCCTTCAAAAAATACAGGATGCCTCTAACAAGTCTGGATACAAAAGCTGCTCTTTCTTATCACGAGTCTTTTTATGGTAGAATAGAATGGTTTGGGTTGGAAGGGGCCTTAAGACCATGTAGCTCCAACCCCCTGCTATAGCAGGGACACCTTCCTCTAGCCCAGGCTGCCCACAGCCTCATCATCCAGTCTGACCTTCAGCGAGGGGGCAACCACAGTGCCAGCATCTCCCCATCCTCACAATAGGAAACTTCAGAGCATCTGTAGCATCATTGTAAATCCAGAATATTCCACCTTCATGTCAGTAAAATCAATCCTAGAAATGACTTTGTTGCTGAAGTATGAATGCTGCAGTTCTTGGTAAGTTTCATACAAACAGAGACAAACATACTTCTAAAGCACAACTGCAGTTGATGCATCCTCAGCAATGCCCTTGGACTTCTGTTTTGATGTCAGGCCAAACTTTGCCTCTAACTTACGTAATGGTTTGCCAGTACACAGTCTGCAAATAATATGGTACATTTTGGGCATCTTAAACTATGTGATCAATCTTAGTGCTGAGCTAAAAGTGTAATGCCTGCGTCTGGGTGTTCAGCTCAGACTTTCTCCTGTTTCATGTTAACCGTGAATTTTCATTGCAACCCCGGATTTTTTCTCTGGCTGTTCAAACAAATCTCGTGCATCTGTTAAATGAACTTCTAGGAAGAGAGGGGGGAAAAAAAAAAAAAAAAAAGATAGTCACAAGATATCCAGAGATGTATGAATATTCCAGTCACTTTATTAACGTGTGTAATTTTGCTTCTTGCTGTGTGAGCAACATTAAGCCCCTGGCAGTTAAGTAATTGAGTAATCACATCAATGTAATCACTGTCTGCTTAGCTGAGGAGTTGTGTGATTTCTGTTCTGCTTTTTTTTTTTTTTTTTGCTAGGTTCCTGTGCTGTATGGCCATCCTGACCGAAGGCAGCCTGTGCCTTTAGGAATTTGCTTTTTCCTTTTGTAAGCAGTGCTTAAAAACATGAGTACAGTAAATATGAAATGCATTAAAGTGACAGCTCACAAAAACAATTTCTTTACTCTGGATAAATGCACAGATGCCACAAAAAGCCCTCGATTCCCAATTCTTAATGCAGAAGGAACCTCAGGCAATTGATGGCAGCCTGTAAATACATTAACTTTGAAATTTCTCCTTGGTCACCACCTGCTGCCTTTTCATATGGCTGAAGAGGAACACCAGTCTATTACCAGTATGGCTTGAGAACGAGCCCTCCTGTCGTGGCTAATCACCATCTTATTGCCAGCAGCTCAGTTCCCAATTGTGGTTCCTGGTGGGCTGGGGGAAACATGCACATCCTTTGCAGTACTACTGCCTACATTAAGTGCACAACTTTGGTTTTTACATCATCTTTCTGTCCTTTTTAAGGCATTTAGTCATCCACGCAATTACAGTTTTAAAACAACATAGCCTACAGCTTAATATTCAGTGTCAATTGCATGAGAATGTTATTTGCACTACTCTTCTGCTGCCTCTCGAGCATACACTTCTAAAGCAATTCTGTTTTCCTGTGTGAATTAAGTTATGTATTGCTGGTACCAGTGTTGGTTGAAGTGATGGCAAGTAATTGAACAACGCCAAGTCCCACTTTGAATTGAAGAGACATACAAATATGAGGTGTATGATGAATGTAGATTACCTTCTGGAGGTCAAACACCTTGAGAGATGTGGTTCTGCAGTAATGACTTGTTCGCATTTGAATGGGAACAAGCTCAGGTTACATGAGTTTTTTGTACTGCTGTTTTGATCAGAACTGTGTCAGATGCAGGAGCTGGAAGTGACACCATTAATAAGAAAGCAGCTGTGGAAAGTTCCCACAGTGGTTTGTGAGCCTGTCCAGTGTTTGGAGGAAGGGGAGATGAGTCATGTATGCTCTCTGAGGCTTTCTTGCTGAAGCCCAGTAGTAAGGATGCTCGTTAAGGATGCTTATTACTATAGACAAGCTTAGAAAGTTCTCAGTTCAGTGAGTTGAAGTTGAAACAACTGCTTATTAGGCTGCACAGCAAATTGCATTATGAATAATACAAGCAATATCTTAAAAAAAAAAACAAAACATCCACGTTACATCTTCATCTGGAATGCTGGTCTATGTAATTAAAGAACATGACATGTCTAATTTTTGGGGGGCCTTTTTGTATTCTCCATCCAGCGAAATTGGATTTTCCATAACGTCGTGTCTTGGAATATCAGGAAGATTTAACCTCTGAAATACTTAATGCTGGAACATGTCCTTAGCATAAAGGTAACTGTGCAAGGGCAGTTGGAGTGCTGCAGCTTCACAGGAAATGCAGAGCTACCCCATAGTTATGTTCCAGAGCTATGTATTCATTCCTTGGTCAGACGTGATTACTACTGGTATGTTCCCAAGTGCTTGAAAGATTCACTTTGACTGGTGAGTCAATGTGTAATTGCCCAGCAAAGATAAATTGTATGTGGCTTATCCTCATCTCAGACCCGTTTGTAGGCTGCTGGCCAGCAGGTGTAACTTACACAATGCAAATCCTTCACCATCTGTGTGCTGGAACAAAGCGTTTACCTGGATTTGTTGCTTTGTCGTTTTGTTTCAGCTGGTGGAATCAAGCAGCAGACAGGAGTTGTATTAAAGATGGAAAAAAACCATGTTGATTTCAAAGCAGTGCACTGGGTCTCAATCCCTCCTACCCGGTCTGAGAAGCTTCTCATTGCCTGCACAACTTTCTCTCCCTGCATCATGAGGATCTCTAATTACGTGGCCATGTATGGTTCCTTCCTGCATTGCTTTCACTGCATAACTAAAATTAGTGGGTAACCACAGAGCAGGTATTTCCTAGCTCTTGAGTTATTGGGTCCAGAACCCAAACACCACTTCCTATCTTTTTTTTGGTGGTTTTTTTTTCATGATTATTTTTTTAACCTGTTACTCAGTAACTACATTTGCAGCCCCGTGTTTTTACTGGAAATGATGTTAATTTACTGTATCCCTTCAGTTGTCTATTCCAGGCTGATAAAAACACATTCTGCATAATCTTCTCTTACGTGTGCTTATGTTCTCTGTGTGTTTGGTGCTGAATCTTTTTGGAGATAAGCTAGGAACTGCATGCAGCATCAAAACATGGGTGTTCCCTGCTCCTGGCATCGTTTTCTGCCTTTGGGCTTGAGTTGCATTTTTCAGAACTTGAAGACCAAAGTAATATGACTGCATCAGTCATGCTTTGAAACATCAGTGTATTCACTTAAAAGTAGTCAAATACCACATCCTGAAGCTAGAGAAGGACGTGAAAGTGAAACCCTCACAAAACTGTGCTTAAGACCAGCAGAAACAAA